GCACAGAAGTTTCTGGGACACCCCACACCCCAACATGGGAGCCTCACTCACTGTAGTAACCAAAACTTGTTAGTGAAGCCCTACAGGGGGCTTCAATTTGACTGAGAGAATACAGAAATGTTTATAAGGGTTGATAGGATTAAGGTGGAGGCTTAGATGGAAAAGAACGTTTAAATAAGCTATTTGTGAATAAATTGTGTCTCCTTCACCTGAAACTGTTATGAGAATGGATATTATGTCTGACTGGGGAACTTCTCCGTCACCTCATTTTATAAAACCAAAACCTGTTGATAGGTCACAGTTAGGAATGGAAGGGTTGAAGGATTAAGGTAAAAGTCTGAAAGCTGGTATGTCTGAAGTGGCTACATCTCTTTTATTTGAGTATATTATGGGCATGGACATTGTCTGTGACTGGGTATTAATTGTTTCTGTAAAACAGAAAGCATGTAAATCTGTCCTATTAATTGGACATGCTGAATGGGGATGGATAAGATTGCCCCAGTCCACAGTGTAGATGAGAAGTGGCAGTGCTAATGGGAACAGTTTCTGTGTGGTAGCTCTATGTGGAGCATAGATTGAAGTTTATGGCAAAAGCCTGTGACTGCTTCCCATCAACAACTATTGGGATTATGGAATGGAGATTTCCATTTGAGAAGCAATTAGTAGCCTGCTATTGGATACTAATTGAAACTGCCCCTATGACTGCAGTACAAAAGCAATCTTAACATCTAAAATGCCCATGTCTTAGGTAATGTCACAGAAATGCTTAAGGTTTCTGGGAGGGCAATGCCCAGGAGAGTTCCATAATAAGACGGAAATGGTTTATACAGGATTATGCTACCTGAGGAATACAAGCAGGGGGTACTCACAAGCAGTGAGCCTCTTTTCCTCAGGACTGACTTTGGAATCATATGAGGCTGTATCATTACTTGGACAGTGCCCCAAAAGCAGATCTAGACTGAACAACATAGAGCTGCTTGGTTTGTGGATGGCAATTCCAAGGTAAATGAACAATATCCTGTTTGGAGGACCACCACTCTGACCAAAGATGCAAAAACAAATTAACTCAGTAGATGAATTTCATGCTGTTTTCCTAGTAGTGATGGAAGGATGGATCAATGACAAAAGCCTCTATCTACATTTTGGTTTTTATCTAACTCGAGTGATGGCCAGTGGCCTGGCCACAGGGATAGGCAGAAGGAAAACTGGTCTTTTAAAGGGATGCCCATATAGGCCATGACCATACAGAAATCACTAGGGATTTTTAAATAAGATTTTATTTATTTATATTTGACAGAGAGAGAGAGTGTGTGTGTGTGTGTGAGCACGCGTACAAACAGGGGAAGCTGCAGAGGGAGAGGGAGAAGCAGGCTCCCTGCTCAGCAGGGAGCCCAACGTGGGGCTTGATCCTAGGGACCTGGGATCATGACCTGAGCTGTCAGTAGGCACTAAACCCACTGAGCCTCCCAGGTGCCCCCACTATAGGAATTTGAGGGGTACATTAAAGTAAGTATGTCAATGCCCAACAGAATTCCCTTCCAGGTTTGGAAGGTGACTGGAAACAAGTGGAGATCACAGTGTACTTACTTGAAGTGGCCACCTGGGTCCATGGAAGGAGTTGATATGTGGGGACCACAGCAATACAGAGGACTGAATCTGGACATACTCCTTTTGCACCCTCTGAGGCTCAAAATGCCAACAAGAACTGTTCTATCTGCCAGCAAGAGAGACAGAGGCTACCTATGGCTATGGGGAGAATTCCTCAGAGGGACAGCCCCACACATAGCTGGTAAGTAAATTATATTGAACCGGTGCCAGTAGTTGGGTGAGGGGTGCTACAAATGTGTTTCGACAGAACAGACATTGACTCTGGACTGTGCATTGCTTACTTGGTGGTAAATGCCAAAAATGGTAAGAGAACCAAAAAACAAACAAACAAAAAACAAAACAAAACAAAACAAAACCCAAAACACAACAACAAAAACAAACAAGTTTGGAAGATATTGCATCAATTTCTTCAGGACAAGAAACATTACAGCCCATAAAGTCAAATGGGCAGAGAGTTATTGTCCTCAGAAGAACAGTTTCATAGAGATTTGGAATAGGCAACTTAACACTGGTTGTTTAAAAGAGGGGAACTTGTAGGCAGGAAGGGCTGTTATACGTATATTTAAGAATGTGTGTTCACACTCAGCATGAGCAGGGATAAGGGAGTGTCCTCATTGACAGATTCCTGTTTTTCTGGTGGATCTGGGGAAGAAGAATGGGGGAGGACGCTATTAACTTTTTCTGTAGGGGGAAAATATTGGTATGATTATAATTCTTCCCAAGAGAAGACACTAGTTTGATGACAATACTTTTTTTTTCTTTCCCTCAACTTTTCTTTTTTCTTTATCACTTCAACTTTCTCTTTCCTACTTGATGCAGTCGTCATGGGACTAGGGCTTCAACAAGTGCTGGAAACAGACATGATCCCTAGACAAGAAATGTAACAATAGTTTTACTTTTTTTTTTAAGATTTTATTTATTTATTCATGAGAGACACACACACAGAGAGAGAGAGAGAGAGAGAGAGAGAGAGGCAGAGACACAGGCTGAGGGAGAAGCAGGCTCCATGCAGGGAGCCCAACACGGGACTCTATTCTGGGTCTCCAGGATCACGCCCTAGGCTGAAGGTGGCGCTAAACTGCTGAGCCACCCAGGCTGCCCAGTAACTATAGTTTTAAACCTTTATGTCAGAATTTTTAAAGGTTTGATAGGGCAGGTTGTGCCTTCACTCCATTTCCCCAACTGGAGTTAACAGTGAATGAAGCTCTATTGTTAGTGGCAAAAAGAGCCTGCTGGTTCTGTACCTAAGTAACTCTACCCTATAGGATCAGGAGTGGATTGATGGGGAGGCACTTGCTCGACTAGTATTGTTGCTTGCAATCTAGACCAGCATAGTAGTTTGTTTGTTTTTAAAGATTTTATTTATTTATTCATAAGAGACACAGAGAGAGGCAGAGAGAGGCAGAGACATAGGCAGAAGCAGGCTTCCTGCGGAGAGCCCGAAGTGGGACTCAATCCCAGGACCCCGGGATCACGACCTGAGCCAAAGACAGACACTCAACCACTGAGCCATCCACCCTCTAGACCAGCACAGTAGTTTAACCTAATGTTCCTTCCAAAAGTGCAAAGGTTCAGGTAGAAATGAAAAGAAGGAATGGTAGCTGAGGGTAAAGAAATGAATCAATGGGTTATATAATGAAGGAAATTAAGTATTATATTAAAATCTCAAGAAAGGCTCAGAGCAAGAGAATAATAAATATTGCCTCTCAGCTCAATTATACTAGATGCTGAAAAGGTGAAGCCATATATTGCTGAGACCACTCCTGCTTTTGGAACCTGACAAAATCAAAACCTGCAAGCTTGAATGGCCTCACCCTGGGAAACATTTTCATATGATATGATGATGGACTGGAATAATTAATGACTGACTGTGACTGTAGTAATGTGCCAGTATCTTGACTTTTTTTAAAAAATATTTTATTTATTTATTTAAAGCCTGTGAGTGGGTAGGGAGTGGTGTTGAAGGAGAGGGAGGGACAGAATCTCAAGAAGACTCCTCATTGAGCATGGAGCCAGACACAGAGCTCGATGAGCAGTTGGGCTTGATCTCATTACCCTGATATCATGACCTGAGCCGAAATCAAGAGTCAGATGCTTAATCAACTGAGACACCCAAGTGCCCCACCAGTATCTTGACTTTTATAATTCTTGTGCTATAAGAGATTCATGGTCAAAGATCAGTGGGTGGCCTATGGTAAAGTACAAAAATATATTTGGTCCTTGTACCAGGTTCCTGGCACAAGAATTCCCAAAACTCTTGAATTTCCTGAGTGATAGGAGTATCTTTTGTTATTTATAACAAGCTCCTTTCAATCATGGCTAAATTTATGCTAATGAGGTGACTTAGGGTAAGGCCCCTAGGTAACCTCAGGATGGAATGGTCACCAGAAAGACAAAGTGATGGGGTGGGGGGGGGTGACTAAAGATTGATCTCTATAAAAACTCTTGGATAATGAGATTCAGAGTTTCTGGGTTGGTGAACACATCAAGATGATGGCAGGGTGGTGTCCCCAAAGAGGGCATGGAAGCTCCATGCCCTCTCACACACTATACCCTGCCCTATGCATCTCTTCCATGTGACTGTTCTTGAGCTCTATCCTTTGTAATAAACTATTAATAGTAAAGTAAAGTGCTTTCCTAGATTCTGGGAGTCATTCTAGCAACTTGTCAAAACTGAGGGGAGGGGTTGTGAAAAACCCTGCATTGTAGCCAAGCTGGACAAAAGTGCAGGTGACATGGAGACCTGGTAGTTTCAACTGGTGTCTAAAGATTTTATTCATTGATTCATGAGAGACACACAGAGAGAGGCAGAGACATAGGCAGAGGGAGAGGCAGGCTCCTTGAGGGGAGCCTGATGTGGGACTCAATCTCAGGACTCTGGGATCACTCCCTGAGCTGAAGGCTCAACCACTGAGCCACCCAGGTGCCCCCTCAACTGATATCTAAAGTGAAGGCAGTCTTGTGAGACTGAGCTCTTAACCTGTGGGTTCTGTGCTAATTCCAGGAGTTAGTATGAGAATTTTTTTTTTTTTAGTATGAGAATTGAATTGAATTGTTGGATGCCCACTTACTGTATGAAGAATTGGAGAATTGGTTGTTGGTGGGGAAATACTCCATAATGAACAGTTATTATTTTTATAATGAAAAAGAGTCAAATAAACATTTAAAAAATGAAGTGGTATAACCTAAACACTGAATAAACACCTTAAATTCTCAAAGTGCTGATATCCTTCAGCAAATTTTTAAATATTAATGTTTGTAAAATGAACAAAACTTAATTATTCCCAACTCGACCCACAAATGCAAGTTTTTCTTGGAGAGTTCCTGATTTCTTCCATATATTAAGCTTCAACCATATCTATAACCATTTTTAGTCAGTAGCAGTGGCTTACCTCCTAGATCTTCATCTTCATTGGTTGGGCCTTCTGCACTGTCCACATTTTCTGTTTCATGTGGTTTGGTTAAGTCGTAGTCATTCAAAATCACTGGACATTCTAGGAGATAAAAAGAATTTTAATCATACAGGCCAGTTTTAAAGGATTTTTATAAACATGTATTAAGGAGACTTCCATTTCAGCATAATCTCTTCATGATAGACAGTGCACCTGTCATACATACTCCAAGTGGAATACATGTGAAAACTCTTGAGATTCAGAAATATGCCCAGGGTACACCAGAGTTAAAATGCATTCATGTTCCTTCCTGACAGGAATTCTCTCTCCTTTGGTATGTCTCACAACATTCAGTAGGATGCTATCGCTATTTATTTATTTGTTTGTTTATTTATTTATTTATTCATTTAAAGACTTTATTTATTCCTGAGAGACAGAGAGAGAGAGAGGCAGAGAGAGAAGCAGGCTCCACACAGGGAGCCTGATGCAGGACTCGATCCTGGGACTCCAGGGTCATGTTCTGGGCCAAAGGCAGGTGCTCAACCACTGAGCCACCCAGGCTTCCCACTATTGCTATTTATGACCAAGAAGCATTTATGTAGTGATGAGAAATACTGAGATAAAAAAATACCGGCATAACCCAATTTAGGAAATATGTTTTCCTGAGAGAAAACCCATAAGCAACTGTATATGAAATCCTATTTTCCTTTTCTGTTCACATTATAAATGTGATTCTGTGGAAGACATATTGGCCCTCGAGTTTCTTTATTTCTTTGGACATTTACTAAATGCTAACAAGGCTACAGATACAAGTAAGTCATAATTCCTGTCCTCAAGGAGCTTATAATTTGCAGATGTAGATAAGTCTGAATGCAAGACATTACAGGTCTATAATGTAGACTCAGACAAAGTATTACAGGAGCAGGAATTCATTTGTGAAAGAGAGCAGATATAATAAAAGCATGCTTAAATAAACAGCAAACTTGCTAAAAAATTAAGTCTAAAATAAATATACTTTTGTATATTTGTATATTATATAAATACTGATAATATTAGATGTTAGAAGAAAAGGAACAATGTAGCAGGTATTATTTCATGTACAAGCATGTAGCTTAAAAAGATGTTAACAAAAGAAATCAACTAAAAACTTATTTACTTTATATCAAACTGGTTATGTCCTTCCTAATGTTTAATAAAATATTACTGAGTAGCTACTATATACAAAAAAAATAGTCAAAGATATTGAATCCTGTGGCATTTAAGCTAGGTAAAGTAGGAGAAGTGACTAGAAACTCTGCAGTGGCATTCCTTCCAGCTGCATCCATGACTGAACACATGGAGCAGGACTTTTGCTGGAGTGCAGGAATAAAATGGAAACATATTTCACAAAATCCATGATGAAAAGGCGCTAAAAACATGGTTATTGTGGACTCATGTTCTGATTTATAAATAGGTTAAATTTCTCATTTCTACATATTGTAACATATACTCTATGAACTCTAAGACACTATTCTAAATAGTAGTTCACTTTTCTCAAGCTCAAAATGACTAAAATAAAGTGCACACCTAAACAACTAACATGATGTACAGGTTCAATTAAAACATAAGGTTATAATCAACAATAACAAAAAGGTACTTAAGTGATAAATTTTGTAATATAGCATAAATTTTGATCCAAAGGGAGTTAATCCAGAAAACACAGAAGTTATTTCTTTTTTTTTTTAAATTTTTATTTACTTAGGATAGTCACAGATAGAGAGAGAGAGGCAGAGACACAGGCAGAGGGAGAAGCAGGCTCCATGCACTGGGAGCCCGATGTGGGATTCGATCCTGGGTCTCCAGGATCGCGCCCTGGGCCAAAGGCAGGCGCCAAACCGCTGCGCCACCCAGGGATCCCACAGAAGTTATTTCTAAGAAATTTGAAATGTTTATAGTTTATTCTAGAGCAGGAATCTGCAAACCATGGCCTGAGAGCCAAAACTAGCCATGGCTTGTTTCTGTATGGGCCCAGGTAGTAGGAGTGGTTTTTACATTTTCAAAGGATTGTTTAAAAAGGAATATACAACAGAGACCATATATGGCCCACAAAGTCTAAAAATTTACTTATCTTGCCCTTCACACACAAAAATTTGTTGATCACTATCTACAGTGAAAAGCACAAGTTGATAAAACATAAGCTACTACATTGTTCAACAAGAACTGTCTTCATTTAAACCAGTAAGTTAAAAACAATTTTTTAAGGGAAAAAAACACAGTGATCAAAATTAGGTGGGGTGTGATTTGGCCCTATGATGCCGAAGAATTTATATAATTGAAATGGACAAGTTGTTTTTATATCAGAAAGACCCCTTTTTTTTCTAACACATTTCTATTGCATTTTTACTGTGATCAGAATATTATTCTCCCTTTGGTTATTTCAGTAAAGGTATATTTCTAGGGAGGAAAGACCTGATGTTACCTGTGGGCATAGACTCTTCCTGACTGCTTTTCAGTTCCACATTTGGTTTTATATCTGAAAAGAAAAGGATTATAAATATTAGCTACTTAGAGTAAATTTTTTTCAGATTTGGAGCATTCTAAATTTAATAAGGATACCATTTTGGGAGCTTTAGCAGATTTCCTCTTCAGAGCCGGGCTGTTCTTACCTCTATCCTCCCTTTTTTAGGAGGATAAAAGGAATTATCTACACAGTAATTGTATTTTAGAGATTAAAAGGAAAACATTAGTACTTTGTACTTAACATTTCTAGTACTTTTCATTTTGTATCATGTCTCTTCAGCCAAAAGAGCTTCCATTAGCATTTTTTTAAAAGATTTTATTTATTTACTCATGAGACACACACAGAGAAAGACAGAGACATAGGAAGCGGGAGGAGAAGCAGGCTCCATGCAGAGAGTCCGATGTGGCCCAGGGACTCTGGGATCACACCCTGAGCCAAAGGCAGATGCTCAACTGCTGAGCCACCCAGGCATCCCTCCATTAGCATTTCGAGTAATACAACTATGTGAGTGATAATTTTTCCTAGTTTTCGTTATTTGTAAATATCTTTATGCCTTCAATTTTAAAGATTTTTATTTATTTATTTGAGAGTGAGAGAGAGAGAGAGACAGTGAGTGGGGGGGAGGGGGTTAAGGTGGAGGGAGAGGGGCAAGCAGACTCCATACTGAGTGTGGAACCCAAAGCAGAGCTCAATCTTAGAATTTTGAGATCATGATCTGAGCTGAAATGAAGAGTTGGACACTCAACCAACTGAGCCACCCAGGCAACCATCCTGTCCCTTTTGAAAGATTTTAATTTAATTTTGCCTTCAATTTTATTGATTGATTGATTGATTGATTGATTATTTTATTTTTTTGGTATATATTTTTTTATTAGAGTTCGATATGCCAACATACAGCATAACACCCTGCCTTTAATTTTATTTTTTTATTTTATTTTTTTTAAGATTTTATTTGTTTATTCATCAGAGAGAGAGAGAGAGAGGCAGAGACACAGGCAGAGGGAGAAGCAGGCTCCATGCAGGGAGCCCGACGTGGGACTCGATCCCGGGTCTCCAGGATCACGCACTGGGCTGGCGGCGGCGTTAAACCCCTGAGCCACCCAGGCTGCCCCCTGCCTTTAATTTTAAAGGATATTTTTACCTGATACAGAATTTTGGGTTGACAGTTTTCTTCCAGCACTTTAAAGATAGCATTCTACTACCTTCAAGGCTCTATTGTTTCTGATATGAAATCGGTGATATTTGTATTACTGTTTTCCCACACATAATGTATTCTTTTTCTCTGAATGCTTTCAAGATTTTCTCTTTATCTTTGGTTTTCAGTAGTTTGACTATGATATATCTAGGTGTGATTTTATTTGAACTTATCCCACTTGGGATTGCTGAACTTCTGTAAATTTATATTTTTCACTAAACTTGAAATTTTCAGCCATTATCTCTTGAAATACTTTTTCTCCTCCATCTTTTCTTGCTCCTTTCCTTCTAGAACTTCAACTGCACATATGTTAGACTTTTTAATATTTTCCCACAATTCCCAGGCTCTGTTCTCCCCCTGCCCCAATGTTTCTTTTTCCTCTGTGTTGTTAGATTGAATAGTTTCACTGATATATCTTCAAGTGCATTCACCTTCTTCTGTCATCTTAATTTGTTAAGTTTATCCAGTGAGTTTTCTATTTCAGATATTATAATTTTTAGTTTTAGAATTTCCATTTTGTTCTTTTGTCATAGTTTTTCTGTCAAGATTTCCTATTTGTTAATTCATTACAAGCATATTTTCTTTTTTTTTTAATTTTTTTAAATTTATTTATGATAGTCACAGAGAGAGAGAGAGAGAGGCAGAGACACAGGCAGAGGGAGAAGCAGGCTCCATGCACCGGGAGCCCGATGTGGGATTCGATCCCGGGTCTCCAGGATCGCGCCCTGGGCCAAAGGCAGGCGCCAAACCGCTGTGCCACCCAGGGATCCCACAAGCATATACTCCCTTCTGATTCCAATATCTATGTCATCCTGGGGTTAGCCACCATTGATTCTCTTTTATCTTGAGTATGGGTCACATTTTCCTGCTTCTTCAAATGACTTAATAATTTTGGAGTGTACCTTGGACATTATAAATGATATGTTACAGAAATTCTGGATTCTGTTATGTTCCTCTGAAGAGTATAGAAATTGTGTTTCTTTTTAAAGCATGCAGTTAACTTGCCTAGACTCAAACTTGAATTCTGTATCACTGTAGTGAGCAGCAACTAGGGTAACCAAATGTCCCAGCATGACTGAAACTGAGGGTTTTTCCAGATCAGAGAACTTTTCTAGTTCCAGGGAAATTGGGACAAGTTGGTCTCTTGAAGAGGCATAAATCTCTGTTCAATATTTTAGTCTCAGGTAGGCTGCTCAGAGCATGACCCATATATGTGTGGTTCAAGGATCAGCTAGAGATCTGGATTAGCCAGGGAATTTATAATAAAAAAAACCCCTCTCTTCTTTTTTCATACCAAGATTTCTCTCTTTACTTCCCAGCCTGCTGCAGATACTATGGCTTTTTAAGCCAGTGTAAATGTGGATTATCTACCCAAGTTTTGGTCACCTTGAGGCCAAAATTGGTGCCTTACCCGTGGGTTAAAACAAATATAAAAACAAGTTGGTTTTTACATTTTCCAATGCTTTCAGGTAATAGATTTTTTTCATATTTTGTCCAGAATCTATCATTGTTATCGGTTCGAAGGCTGGTTCAATAGGAGGCACCCCCTCTATTGCCAGAAAATCTTCTTTGTTCTTTTTTTTTTAAGATTTATTTATTTATTTATGATAGACATAGAGAGAGAGAGAAAGAGACAGAGAGACAGAGAGACAGAGACACAGGAGGAGGGAGAAGCAGGCTCCATGCCAGGAGCTCGACGTGGAGACTCGATCCGGGGACTCGATCCGGGGACTCGATCCAGGGACTCGATCCGGGGACTCCAGGATCGTGCCCTGGGCCAAAGGCAGGCGCTAAACCGCTGAGCCACCCAGGGATCCCCTTCTTTGTTCTTTATTTTAATGAAGTTCAGGGGATCCCTGGTGACTCAGCGGTTCAGCACCTGCTTTTGGACCAGGGTGTGATCCTGGAGTCCCGGGATCGAGTCCCGTGTCGGGCTTCTGGCATGGAGGTCCCAAGGATCGAGTCCCGTGTCGGGCTTCTCCCTCTGCCGGTGTCTCTGCCTCTCTCTCTCTCTCTCTCTATGTCTATCATGAATAAATAAATAAAATCTTTAAAAAAACTCAAATTTGGTAAGTTTAAAAAATAATAATGAAGGTCATATACCCAAAACTGTTCAAAACAGTACTAATTTCAAAAATCCAATACCATTATCTAGTCACGTTTCAATTTTTGTTTTGTAAAATAGAGTCACTACATTTATATTCTGTTCTAATTTAAAAATTTTAACGTATTATCCATTAGATGATGGCAGCAAAGCATGTTTTTGAAATAAGCAAAGGGGCCCCCTGGCATAGGGTGTCAAAACCCAAGATAGGTGAGAATAAATCTATACAAGGAAGGGAGGCAACCCAGGGCAGGCTGCTGGAGACCAGCCAGCCTGAAGAGTATGACATATGGAGTAGGCAGTATGAATGAGATAAGGAAGAATTCTATATGGAGGGCAGACAACATAGGAAATCAGAGCCTGAGTCAGCTAAAGAGAGCATTCAGGCAGGAGAACTGCCCAACTTGGAATGCTAAAGTCCAAGAGGGATAAAAAGGGTATCCAAGAGAAGAGACAGCTTAGCATAAGTCAGAGCCTGAGCATGGTGAATAAGACATCCATGCATAGAGGTGGTCTGGTGTGGGTTTTCCGAGCCTAAATGGGGTGAGTAAGGCACTCACATGGGGACAGTGGAGGAAGCTTCCATACATAGGAATGCTCCAGTCTAAAGTGTCAAAACTTGAGAGGGGTAGAGGGCATCGATATACTAGGGACAGCCTTGCGTGGAGGTGTCAGAGCCAGAGAAAGCGTAAAGAGTGTCCACATAGCACAGTAGCTATTATGCAGGATGTCAGAACCCAAATGAGGCATGAAAAGCATTCTGTGCTGAGGAAGGGATGGTAGTGGCAATGGCTGATTGATTACATAAAGGAGAATTCATCAAATAAGTAAATATAACAAGAATAAGAGTCAGATTTTTCTGTCAAAAAAAGGGAGTTACAAATGCAAAAAAAAAAAAAAAAAAACAAAAACCTCCAAAAAACCCTGTGGTACTGTATTGGAAATGAAGGTACTGGCTTGCACATGTGATTTCTACTCTATATAAACAGATATAAAATACAGATGTAAATATGTATATATGTGTATGTATATATGTATGGATATGTATGGATATACATACATATAGTCCCTAGCCCTGTCCACTGAGAGTCCCTGGGAGCAGTGACACTACAACAACTTCTAGGATCCAGATATTAACTTCTACATATCATTTTACACTTAAAGAAACCAGGCTCCTTGGAGAAATGGCTGATTCCACAGTTGGGGCAGGAAAAAGTACAAGATGGGTCTGGAACATTCATGAAGCAAGAAAGTGTGCACAGAATGAAGAGTATATGTTAAAGGATATAGAAATTATCTTGAAGAGGTTTCCACTGCCAAATCTGAGACAGGGAAGTATCAAAATAATAATGATAGTATGGGATTATAACCCATTAAAAAAACAAATTCATGAGTCTATGTTGACATTAATAAGTAAATAAACTGAAAGTCAGATGATTATTGGAATATCTATAAAGTTTCAAAGTGCTTCTCTCAAAATACTTATCATTACAAACATGAAAAGAGCAGTACATAGTGAAGAACTTGGTAGACACCACTGTAACTGAACAAAGTGATCATCATTAGTAATGGGACAAATGAAAATTATGTGCCATCTGATAATAAAAAGAACACAGCATCACTTCTGTGATATTGCTGCCAAATAAGCATAATATGAATCTAACCATGAGAAAATGAATTCTAATTGAGGGATAGTTGACAAAATAACTGGCT